AACTGGCGCCATGCTGCAATTCGGGCGCCACTTTCAAATACTGCATTTTTCAGTTCTGCCCTCGGGGCCTTTGCAGAAATGCCCCTAGTACCGTATGTGTCACCGGTACTTATACCGGCTCCCCGTACGGTACGGGGACCAGTCCCGTACCAGTTCTCTGCTGCTGTACTCGTACTCAGTGTGACTTGCTGTTTTCGGCATTCGGGAATCCAAGACTTCAACTTTGTGCCTTGCCACTGTGTCTGCGTCCGATCCTCAGTCCGAGTCCGTCGTGTGGAGTGAGTGAGTGTGTGTGTGTGCTCTCACTCTCCCCCTCTCTCTCCTCTCCCTCGGCTCACCCTCAGCCTCACGCTCGTTACAGGGGGAGGGCATTCAGTGAGAGAGGACCTTGGGCAGAGAGGGCAGAAGCGAGGTTGAGGGCGAGAGCGACCATACCTTAGAGAAGCTTGAGTATGGCCATATCCGCACCTCTTGTCCAAAGAGAATTCTGTGTTATTGAGTTGATGGATGGAGACTACAACTTACATCAACTTGTGCTTTGGATGTGCGTGCATCATATCGCAATCAGACTCGTTTTCTTTTCCTCTCCGCATACATGCAAACAGATGGTGAGTTACACTGGCGCACAGCGCCCACTCAAAGCTCAGAGATATGGCAATCGAGAACACAGTTCAGATGTAAACTCGCTTTAGCAAACTATGGCGCATCAGCGCCTGCACACAACTCCTGTCACCGTGTCCAACACCACTGTTCGCCCATACTCAACTCTGGATCACCCTGAATACTCCCACACACACACGCACTGTATCACACACTCATGCACACCCACTAACTCCTAACACTACAGCGGCTATGGCCGCTCAACAGCTACTAACCATGGCTACGCTAGCTTCTCTTAGCCCACTTCGACTTCGGGTGCTCTGCAGACCACCTCGCACAAGACGCTGAAGCAGCGCTTCCGCATGGCTTACGCAGCGAATCAATGAATGACTGGGCGCTGCCTCTTGATTTATACTTCTGAAAGTCGTTGGTCTGCCCCTTTTTCCACCGGGCCCTTGGTGCACACAGTCCCTCCTGGTACTTGCTGACTGTACGAATTAAGACTGGGACTGGGTACCGCTGACTCATCGAAGTTGGACTCCACCACTTGCCCACTTGCCTTCACCTAAACGTGAGACTCTTCGAAAGGCCACTTCCGGACCTTCCGGAAGTCTGTGGTCTTGGCCTTTCGAATACGGTAGCAGCTACGACCTTGACCTCTCAGGACACCTACAGCTGCGACCTTTACAGAGCTGTGACCCCTACTCGACAGACCTGCAGATCGAACCCCTACAACTACACAGACCTACGACAGACAACAGCTAACCACCAAAACACAGGTCGTGGGTTCAAACACTCAGGGGTCGACTGGATACTGTACACGGGCAAGGTAAGGTCTGGGGATTGAACCCCCCTGGGATCTGCATCTGCCTCTGCAAAGGTGAAAACCGTTTCAATATTGTGTGAGCGTGGTGTGAAAGTGCCGAGTGTGGTCGGTTTCAAAGTGTGTGCGCTCTGGATGCTACTCGTGGCTTTGTTTTTTTGTTTTTTTGTCCCACTTGTCTTAGACGCGCCCTTAAATTTTGTCGGTGAGTTAATGCAAATCCTACAAACTTGTACTATGATTTGTCATGACTGCAGAGAATCGATAATAATCAATGGGCACGGTTCGTTGAGGCTCGTAACCGAAAGATTGCAATGGAGGATGAGGTCGCAAAGAAGGCCGAGGTAGTGGCTGTTCTACAGAGACAGATGCAGGTGCTCATGGACGAAGATGATGCCAACCGAAGAGGCATAGAGGAAAACCTTCGCCTCATTGCCGAACTGCGTGAAAATCGTGACAAGAAGCGGTACGCAACCCCATCGCCTTGCATTGCAAGTACAAATCGCCCTTCATCCGATGGTGTTGTTGCGAGAAGAAGAAACAGTTGCCATGAGAACAACAGCAACAACAACAACAACAACAACAACAACAACAACAACAACAACAACAACAACAACAACAACAACAACAACAACAACGACGACGACGACGACAACAACAACAACAACAACAACAACAACAACAACAACAACAACCACAACCACAGCGACAACGACAACAACAACAACAACAACAACAACAACAACAACAACAACAACAACAACGACAACGACAACAACGACGGCAATGACAGTGGCAACAACAATGACAACAACCAACAACCACCACAACAACCAACAACCACCACCCCCAACAACCACCCCCAACAACCACCCCCAACAACCACCCACCAGCCACCAACCACAACAAACAATAACAACAACAACAACGACAACAACAACAACAACAACAGGAGGGAAAAGAGGGCTGCATTAACGCGACCCACCGGTTGTCTAGCTTACCAGTCAAGCGTGAGTGCCGTATTAGAACGAGAAAACTGTTGGGATGTGGCAGCTTGGACAAGGGAGTGACAATAGCACTCACGTGTACTTGAGCTTCCCTCTGGACTCTAACGAGTCGTTGCAGCTGGTCTGATGTCCTGGCTTGACAGTTATGGGAGGAGTCAAACTACCCCGCCTGAGCACGTACCACCATCTCATGGGCACCCAATTCATCGCCACGGAGACCTTTCCCTTCTCGCTGAGTCCCTCCTTTTCTACACTCCTTCTACTGCCCATACACGGCCCTTGGGGCCTTGCAGAAAATTGTGAGTTGCCAGCCCGAAATTTCCGCGGCTTGGGCTTACCGGACCACAATGGCTGGCGGCAGCAGCCGAAGAAGAAAAAAAGTGTGCTGCTGGCGGTTCGGAAAAGGCTTCGTGCGCAGTGCAGCGCCTCCAGGCCCAGGTGTACTGGTGGTTGAAAGACCCAGGACACGGCTGCCTGGGCCGCGGGGCCTGACACCTTGAATTCCGCCGACTATCCGGAGGAGCGAAGCGAGAAAGCGACCGCCGATCCAATATATATCAACGGCAGGCCAAGTGTTTGACGTTTCGGCCTCGTTTTCTTGTGGCAACAAGTTTGGGACTGCAAGGAAAACTTGAGGAACATTAGCATTTATTACGTAGGTAGAACTTACCCGCCACCTCGGAGTTGGTTTCCTTTCCCCGCCTGATGAGGCTAGATTCTGGCTCAGGCGAAACCGGTAGAGGGAAGCCAGACCTACCATCATCCGCTTAGCGGTTGGTGGTTCGTACACCATAGTTTGGGTATGGTGATTCTCTTGGAGTATCCTTACAATCTTTTGAAGAGTTTAATTAATTCCGAGTACACACAATCTGGTGTGTTGTCCTTTGCAGCACGCCTGTGTGTTGTGAACCGCTGATCCAGCACTGCTGAGTCGGGTTTCGCCTTCGCTTCCTCTCCAGCCAACAACGTAGGTTGACAATGTATGTAAAAAAAAAAAAAAAAAAAAAAAGAAGAAGAAGAAGAAGAAGAAGAGGTTGACTATGTATGTTAGACTTGAGCTGCTGGACTTAAAGAGATGAATTGCACGTAGACCTGTTTGTATATATGACTCGAACTGTTGAGTTTGCGTTTTTGTTTTTTGTCTTTTTTCAAAGTTTTTTGTCCTCTTTGAGGAGCACAGAGCCTTATGACTCCGGCTCCATATCCATTCTGGGGGAAGTCGGTCCGGTTCCTTTTCCACCGGCAACTGGAAGTCATAAGAATACAACAAATTACACCATGGCTACGCCGGACCCGGACCCGGACCCGGACAGCTCATGTCCGGGGACCGCACGCATGTCTGGTCAGCTCCGGACGTGCGGACTTCCGGACATATCCGGACCTCCAGACATGCATGGACCTCCAGACATGCATGGTTCCGGACGGTCCGGACCGGTAAGCAGGTCCGGAAATGTCCGGACCATTAAAAAAAATATAAAAAAAAAATCTGAAAGAAATGTTATGCAGAATAACAATTCAAACCACTTTTGCCTCAGACTCATGTCAGAATTCCTAACCAAACTTGAGTTAAACTTTAAAAATGACTTCAAAAACTTGAAACTACATTTATTTTTTTACATCTATTTTTTAATTTTTTTTACGTCGAATTTTTTACAGATTCTTTTTCATCTTTTTTTTAACATCTTTTTTTTTCCATCTACTTTTTTACATCTTTTTTTTTACATCTTTTTTTTTACATCTTTTTTTTTACATCTATTTTTCTGAGTCCCATCAGTGAAGTTGGGACACCGTTTACTTGGAACTACACTTGGGGTCATCGTACTTGTCCCACATTTTTTCTAGTGCAGTATTTAATACTATTTATTCTTTCTTTTTTTGTGGGGTTGTCTTTGTATTTGCTACACTTCTTTTGTTTTTTGGGATAATTTGCAAAATACCCCCATAAGTTGAGGTTTATGCCAAAATGCCCCTGAAAAATGTGTGGGTAGAGTGGAACGCCCCTCTGACAAAAAGAATATTATTATTTTGTGAAATACCTCCTTTCGCAGGGGCCATGCTAATCCTCCCTGTATTTGCTACACATTTTTCCCCCTGTTTCTCCTCCCC